GAATATTGATTGAAAATACACATTCAGGTGACAGCACTTAAATGTTGAGATAATCAGAAGGAAAATATTAAAAGGTCACACATGTCTTGTGCAACACCAGCTATTTTTTGTATTGTTTTGATTGTTGATTGAAATGGTTGAACTTGAATAGTCCACATGAACGCTGCGCATTGCACAACCTTACACAACATTAGCCTTAACAAATGATATGCTCTGTGTGGTTGGTGTCGTTGTTTATTATCACCGGGGTATTCACGTTGGTGTATGGCCCGCTATAATCCCTTTTGCACACCTTCTGCAACCGGCACTCGGCTGGCTGTATGCTGTACTTCCATGCGAACACCTTGTGTATCCACAGGTGGTATCGTATTATAACTCAATGAGTCCACTGTTGAGGTTGCCCCTAACCTACTCGTACTCGCTTCATTCGTAACCACCGGGCCGGCGAGTTCTATACCCGAAGTATCACCGAGCGCTCCTGAGCTGTGTGCGGCCTTCGTAGTCAGAGCATCTGCACTGTCATTAACGGATACTGCATCAGCGTTTGCTCCCAAGCTTCCGTTTATATCTATACTTGACGTTGTGATTGAGGTTGCGTTGTTTTCATCTGGTATACTTGTGTCCGTCTGTGTATTAGACTCTATGCCTGTACTTGTGTCTTCTATACTGCTATGTGCTTCAGGGCTTGGCGCCACACCGGAGTCAACGCTCATAGACGAAAGCACGCCGGCGTCAGGAACGCTCATATTCATCTGCGAGCTATTCGCAACCGCGTTTGCTGGCGATGATTGTGTGTATATACCATACTCTTGCTGTTGTATTTGGGTGTGTGTGTGTGGCTCTGTGTGTGTTTGTGTGTGTGTTTGTGTTTGTGTTTGTGCGGTTGATGGGTGTATGACATCCTGGTAGTCGCCGGGTGGAGGTGTGTAGGACGCGCCCGTCTGTAGTTTCCGTTGCATCACAATCTCCAGTATCCGCCCACTCGTTAACCAGTCGTGCGTACTCCGCTGCAGATTCAAGGAAATGTTGTACTATTGTAAGTAGGTATTTATGACTTGCACTGGAGAACAGTGCGGTACAAGGTAAACACTAATACGGCAACAGTCCTCTATCCAATTAGGCAAGTTGACGCAGTAGGTAATGAGTTTTAGTAGGTAATGAGTGGTACATTTGAATACCATGCCAGAGAGCAGTATGATACTACTGCATGGTCACCCATCCTTGCAAAAGAGTCGGCACAAACACATAGCCCGACGATTGCATTGATTTACAAGAACAGAGGAGGATTATGAGACACGGACTGGTTAGTTCGAATCGTATTGGATCATCGTACAGAGCTAATATGCGCAATCCAGTTACTTTTATCGTCTTTGCAGGTGGAATCAGATCGAAGTACCTCACATTCATCTCGAAAGAGAGCGGAAGCGGGTGAAAGAAAGATGTGTATGGCCGATTGTTATATATAAAACGAGTTGCTGACAGCGTAGCTAGTTTTCACACACAGAAGTGCGATTAAGTAACGTACACACTTACAAGAAGTAGTCTCTTGTCGATTACGAAAAACGGCGATACCCCCTGCGCAAAGTGATTCCACATAATTCGGCGTTGGTACCGAACTTCGAACCCAATAGCTTTCGACACTACGCTCATAAACATCAAGTAAAAAGTATAGGCAAATCTCGGATATAAATATATATATATATATATATATATATATATATACATATATACATATTATATATATATATATATATAATATATATACTATATA